TGTTTCTAGTAACAAAAAGTGCAAATCTTAAGATGAAAGTTTCATGTTACAGAACAAAAAATGTCCTTTCTTTTTCCAGGGAGGCCGTTTTCTCCCAACAACTCCCTACCAGGTAGAAATTTCATTCAAGTTTCTTATAACATACTTTTTGTTTGTTTTGGCCATGAAGACCCTCTCTCCTTACAACTTTTAAGGATCCTAGAATCAAACAATGCAAATATCCCTTATGCACAACTGTCTTACAATATAGATTTTAAGGCTCAGCAAGGGAAAATTGGCAAAAAAAATATACTTCCAGTCCTTCACACGTAATTGAACTGTCTATCCCCTACCACACAGAGAGAAAATAACTGGCAATGCAATTTTGCTTATCTGTGCAAATTAAGTTTGCTGTCATTAAGTTTCACAATCCCCCATAAGCAACAATGCTCTCTGTCATACAGTGTAGGTGTGCTGTTACCATCCCTGAAATCCCCTAAGCAAAAACCTTGCATGCCTCCCTCTAAAACAATAAATTATGATCACAGCAATTGCAGGCATGTGGTATCTTTCTGGTATACTATCGTACTCAAAAAAGGCTGCTAGTAATAATAATTGATCAACAAGATTATTGTTTTTGTTGTAATATTGTTCTTCTTGGTGTAGGCCCTCTTAATATCTCCACCTCTCCTGGGGCACCACCTCCCAAAGCAAACGGTCTATTCTCTGTCACATTTTTTCTATTTTATGTGTTTCTTACACAATAAAATACAGTTTTAGAGATCCAGTAGAAAGTGCTGTGAGAAAAAGGGTAGTTCTTTCGGATGTTTTACTGCCCTTTTCTAATAGTAACCACCTGTTCTTTAAGAATTCGCCTTTCATCAATCATTTAAAAAATTATCTAATTCTCTTATTAAACTATTAAAAGCTCACGCTCTAACATTGAATAACTCTAATATTTCGCTACTCTACGCTCCTTGTAATTCTCTCACGTGCACTAAAAGAAAAATCTGCAAACCTACTAACCTTATCTATGCGACATCATGCCAGAGGGTCTTCGAACAGCAGAAGACTGAGCCCTTGCAGCAACTTTCCGTCGAGTTATAAAGCCTTCCAGCTGTTAACACTTTAAACTGTGACTATAAGCTTTTTCTCCACGGAATTTCGCTCAGGATAGGCAATTTTGATTGATGACTTTGATGAATCAGAAGCCGCGAAAGCCAAACTCTTGAGTGACGCTCGATTACAAACAGCGAAAGAATGACATTCCTCAAAACCATGAAGTTGAGTGGAAGTTTCTGCAACTTTACGGGGCGTGATCCAGCCTTCCAGCGGTGAACACTTTAAACTGTGGTCATCCGCGTTTTCCCCATTCTATCCCACTTAGGAAATTATATTTTGATTGATGACTTCTCTAAATCAGAGGCCGCAAAAGCCGCAAAACGTTAACGACACTCGTTTTGAAACATCGCAAGACTCGCCATGACATTCCTCGCAGCTGCATGAAATTTATCGTTAAAATAATACTAAAACGTCTTTTTTGGTCACGACATTTGCTTGAAAGGCCGGCTATATACCTTCTTAATATTCTCGGTATTCAAGATACATAATTCCGTTAGCCTGTGGGTAAAAATAACGAGGAAACCAAATAGCATCGGGCGTCCATCTTTGTGCTTCGCGCGAAAACAGAGCAGCAACTCTGCAACTGGATGTGATGTCATAAATCGGTGGATCATAGGTACACGAAATTTCGCTAAGTCGTGCCCCCCCTCCCCCCCCCCGCTGGGCTTAGCTAGATAAAAATGTAGTCACAACAGTGGATTAAAAGCGTAAATCTCAGCAGAAATTAGACACAACTTACATATTTCGCTTCCCTGTCACTTAAAGCAGGTGAATTGAAAACTTTTTTACGAAAAGAAGAGATTCTTGAATTACCGAGACTGCAAAATACGAGCAAAATGTTCTCCGTAGTCCCGACTACGCGTAGAAGAAGGGTGAGTTTTCGTTACTCAATTAACTAGTCAGCGGTATCCTTCAACACTGTGGTAGGTACTTGATGTATGGGAATATGTATTGTATTGATTCCAAGTGACGTGGATGATTGAATGGGGCCGGAATTCAAAACCAAAAAAAAAAAAAATGCTTCGATTATGGGGAATGTTTTGCCTCCCAATAACAGTGTTGTCCACAAGTCACAAGTACAGTAGTTGGATGTAACTAATTTTATTCACGATTCACTCTCACTTAGTTTCACCGCAATCTAGGCTCGATTACCAGCCACTGTTCGGACCCGGGAGACGGTGGAAATCGAGCCTAACCGCAATCACGATGTCTCTAAAAACTAAAAAGCATTTTTCTTTGTTCTATTGTAACGCAGCCGCGAATTCCGAATCGCGAATCTATGCTATAACCCGGTATTTGCCGAAAAGAAATAACAGTAATAACAGTGGTTTGTAGATTCTTTTTTGATATTGAAGTTATTAGGATCATTTTATTTGTCACGCATTCTCTTGTAATCAAAAATATCCGATACGACAGAGCATCATTTTTTTAGACCCATCCCTTGAGTCCTGCAATTGAAGCACAGTACAAACCAGGTCAACCAATCGGCGTTTTAGTTTCGACATTGTCGAATCAGGGGGAAGGGAGGCGGGGCTAATTCTAAATTAGGAGCACTTTTAAGGTGTTTCCATAGTAAAAGAACCCAACATAGATTTTAGCTAAAACTTGGTACACCGATGTAACAAGTCAAGAAGATGGTAAAAAAGTAATAAAAAGTGGGGGTCACCGTGCTCGTTTTGACGTCACAATGCTGACAAATACGGCTATTTAGGACCCTTTTACAAAAACCGCGGGCAGCGCAAAACTAGACAAAAAGGAGAGATTTTTACGATGATGCATGTGACATCACACATAATTTGACTTTAATGTATTGTTTATCCACTTACGTAACAGAAAAATGCCTTTTAATGCCCTTGTTTTTACTTTACGCTCCAAAGGAGAATTAAATTGGACGCGCGCTTTTCGACCCGTGATGGCGCAATCCGTACAATTTAGTAAAATTGCCAAAAAACTGAACATAGATTTGTGCCAATTTTTTTCTCATCGAAAGGAAGCACTGTCCTTATTAAAATCATGAAACAAAAAATGGGGGTCACCGTACTCGTTTTTGCGGTAGAGCTGCAGAAAGTGTGCACCAGACGCATTTTCTCCGATTTTTGAGAGAGGACTGGGGCGAGTTTCACAATAGAATGTATGTGAAAGGGGGAAGAAAGTATTAAAAAATCCGTTTTTACAGAATTTACATCGAGATATCACATTTAGGACACAATGTGATAAAGAAAGTGTTTAAATGAAAATCAAAGTGTGTAAGTACAAGTTAAACATCCACTATCGAGGTTCTCCGAGAGGAGGTCGAACTCAACAACACGCGTACTGCTTACGTTATGCACACACATTCCCAACACATTGAGTCTCACCTCGGCAAGAAACAACAGCAAGCAAAAATTCCAATAGCGTTTCTTTTCAGTCAACTCCATTTTAATAATATTACTTCACATGCTCTTTTTTACGGCGGCCATCTTGTTATGCGCAGTAAGAGATGCGCAGTGCAAAACTAGGGAATCACCTTAAATGTTTTAGTTCTTGGAAGGGCTTTCTCCTGCTAGAGAGTGCTTGCAATAAGAAATCATATCAAAGAACATCAAAGACGAAATCCTATCAGTGTTTTAGTCTTGGCTGATGTCGAAATGTTGTCAGTTTTGTTGTTGTGCTTTGATGAGACTGGGAAGTAAGGCAAATTTTGGAGCACCACATATTGGTTGGTGTGATGTCTTAGCGATTTTTACGGACTTAATATAGGTAGAAGTAGATGTAGATGATGTAGATAATAATTTGAATCGATGGAAAATCATGTCTGTTTTACCTTAGGTTTCTACTTTAAAATCGGTAACAATCAATTCAACAAATTGCTAAACAAAACACCACAAACTTTGTTTTTCCAACACCCCTGTCCACTCTAAAGATCCGGAGACTTTCATGTTTAACTGTCAATCATGAGCAATACGAGCGAACTTAACTTTCTGTGCGATTTTACGCTCTTCACTTAGGGGCCGACCATTTAACTGTTGAGTGGGGGGCGTCGATTTCTGGTCATAAAGAATATTTTTTTCTAGCATTCTGGTGGGCAGGATTTTTTTCCTCTTTTTTTCCCATAAGCTTTCTATTACATTTGTGCTGCATGCAATTTTTTTCTTCTGACAAGCGCTTGCAGGAATTTTTTTTTCAAAATCACCGCCCCGCCCCCTTCAAGAGTTAAATGGTCGGCCCCTTACATAAAAATGAGAAAAAATAAATAATCCTTTCCAAAAATGCTGATAAACAAAATATAATAGAAACTGACGGGTTTAATTTACTATTGCCTTCAACGATCCATGAACGCAATGTCTGGATTCGACAAAGAAAGTAATGGGGATATTTCCTCTGTTGTGTTCAAAAAAATGGGCTGAGCTGTATGTGCAAATTAAGAGACAATCAAGGAGCCACTTCAAGCAAATAACCACAATAATTTGGTATGGAGACAGTTTACGATATGAAAACATGAAGATAATTATCTTTACGTCGAATTCAAAGAAAGATATCTGTCGATCAAATCAGTTAGACTTTCTGCGTCTCCTTTATGGACTGCAAAAACAGTAATTCTCCGAAAAGCGAACATTGTCAAAATTTCCTTGAAGAAATGCAATCCCTTTTTCCCTTACTTCGTCCACGTTAGACTTCATAATTGTCGCTTGAAAACCTTGATCTCGCCCGTCTGGTTTTCCGCCAGATTGCGAAAAAGGGCCATAAATAAGGTCAAAAAGTCGACCGGAAGCGTCCCGAGAGGAAGCTCGATCATTTAACCGGAAGTCCCTCTTCATTTTGCCAACTACCGCTGACTAATTAATTGAGTAACGAAAACTCACCCTCCCTCTACGCCCGTGGAAAATTGTCACCCGAGTTACATTGTCTGATGTCTCTAAGCTCGTCCGTTTTCTAACCCTATGCCGACCACGTCTAAGCCATTGTCGTTTGTCCCAAAAAATTCTTATTTAACACAAGACAGGAATGATGAAAATCACCCCGGATTCAATCATTTGTCCGCCAGTACATTCAGCGTGGGCCTTCGAGTTCTCGGATGCAGGTCGCTTGATACTGAACTGACTGAAGGCACTGTGGGAATTGTAGGGACAGTTACTGAGCTCAGATTATCGGGGGACAATACAGCAGTGATACAGTGGGACACGGGAATTAAGGAAACTTACAGTGCAGGGCATCACGACCAGCAACGAATCTTTGTTTTGGATAATGCGTGTATCGGTGAGATAGCGAAAATTTACTGTACTCGGTTGAGAGCCGATAATTTGTAGGGTTTGTTTTATTTTGAAACGTGCTTTTACAGTAGTGAAGCTTGATACTAAATTGCAACCAATTAGAAGCTTCCTGTTATAACCTCCGTGTAACTGAAAAAACAAAGACATTTCTTCAAGCGACTACTGTGCTTGTGTTGACATTTGTTCTATTTCTTTTGAGTAGTCTTTGCATACATAATAACTTCCGGCTTAAAGAAAGCGAAAGAAAACATGACGTAAACAACAGAAGCTACACTTTCACTCTCACCTCCATTTCCGTGTACGCATGCGGATCAGATTGTTCCAGCTGTTTGGATGATGAGAAACAGGCCATTCTCGATTATCAACAGATTCTCATAGAAAACAGGCCAGCTCCTGTAGAAAGTCAACCTCGCTATTAAATGCGGACACTTTATTTACTAAAGTAAACCACAGGGGGTATTCAACAGATGTTTATACGTGGAGGTTCCACCCCGATCCGCCCCGAGGTCTAACCCCTTACCCTTTTATATACCATTTTTCACGAAAAAGGTACCCCTTTCGTATACCTTGTTTAAAACTTTGCATCCCTTTTAACTGCTGTAAATGCACTGTCTTTTAAATAGGAATCAATCACAAAAATAGAACGTCCTCTCGACTCTATAAAGCCATAAAATGCATCTGTCAGCCAGTGTTCTCCAGAAGCGTGGGCGGCCGGCGGTTTCGCTGGCTACTCTTTTCCAAAGTGTCGGTTACTTTTATGACTCAAAACATAAAAAGAACTGTCTGTACCATTTATCTTGAACTTTTCGGAAGGTCAAAAAGGAAACGAAAACAATAACTTATCGTAAATAAAAGCTCTTAGGTGTATAAGACAATTTGCCTTTTGCTAATGGTATTATCGATAAATTCACCAAATGACTTTTCGTTAGACATTGTCAGATAATATTTTTAAATAAAACACCTTGGAATCAATGTAACACTTTGCATGCAAACAAGTGTTTTGAAAAAAAAATGTACATTGCTACTTTCAACTAGGATTCTCGTGGATTGTGTAGCTGCCCTAAATTGGCCTTGATTTTCTTGTTGCTGTAAGCGTCAAAATTCATCACATTGCATCTCTGGGTCTCTATTTTTTTTAAAAAAATTTTCCATACTGCATTGGGAGCTGGCTACTCAAACATTTCTGGAGAACACTGGTGTTAGCCCTTTTGGGCCCTTTCAGAGACCCAAATGACAGATTTCCCTACCCCTTTATATACCGTAAAATTCCGAAAATAAGCCCCTCCAAATACAAGCCCCCCAAACTGGTAACGCAAAAAACCCTCAGTTAAATCGCCCTCCAAATATAAGCCCCCGGAGTGCTTGTACTTCGAAAATTGCCCTCAAATACAAAGTAAAATAAAGCAAAAACGGTAAAAAATACTTCCAACTATAAGGCTAGCCCAATCGATTTTGAAACGTAAATTTCCCTCCGTAGATAAACCCCTCTGAATATAAGCCCCTCCAAAAATATACCCCTCAAAAAGGGTCTTTGAAAAATATAAGCCCCGAGGCTTATTTTCGGAATTTTACGGTACTTCAACGAGTGAAATCGCTACCCTTTCATGTCAAAGAGATACCGGCCTTTCGGGTGGAGCCTCCCCGTATAGGCCATTATAGGGAGTACCCCCCCCGTGAAGTTAATGTGTCCTTTTTGAAGGAGTAACAAACAAGCCTTCAGATAACAGCATGTCTGTGTCCCCAACACTACGTTTTCCCGGACAGAATAAATTGTAGAGGCCAATTTCAGACTATTTAGGCATCACAAGAGTTAGGCAGAGAACGGTTCATGATTAAGTAATGTATAAAATCAGTGACTTTTTACTGTTTTCGTAGACACAGTTACGGAATTACGGATTTGTACAGGTTACAGACGATTAATTTGACGATGCTAATGTCCTGTTTTATTTCGTTAGTATTTTGGTATTTTGTTCAAAAATTGAAGGTTGTGTACTGTATTTTTTTACTTAAATAATATGAACCGCTTTTTACGGACACTGTCTATGGCCCCTCAGTGTCAGCATAAACAAAGTTTGACTGCAACAATTTCAGTTTTACCGGAGTTAGCACCTATTGAATGTCTCCGCGATTCTCTTGTTTCAGGACACAACAGTCGGCTTTTTTTGCAAATAACTTGAAGTCAGCATTGTTAATGTTTGCTTCTAGGTATAGCGCATGGAGGGACAACGTGCGAAGCTTGTGAGCAATGTCCAATAGCTGGATTACGATGGAAGTGTTTAGATTGTAAGGAATCAAGTGTTGACTTGTGCACATCATGTTACATGCGTGATAACCATGACAGAGATCACAGCTTCCTGAGATTTGATTCTAGTGAAAAAGGCGGGTGAGTATGAAAGACAAATACAGTACACTTTCTTGTTAAATGTGTAATCCAAAGTCGCCTTAATAGCAACCAAAAAACACAGCTTCACCTCACTACAACATCAGTGAAAGCAGTGAAACAAGTTTCTATAATGGTCATCCTGGCCAAAGGTACTAGAGGACAAAATTGGCCCTTTATAATATTCATTGCCATAAAATCGTATTGCAAAGAAAGACGCTTAATGACTTAATGTATCATCTTTAGCTATCTTTACTCGATTAAATGCCGCCCTGGAATAAACACTTCCATAGGCGTACGGGCCGGGGGGGCGAGGGGGGCTGCAGCCTCCCCAAATTTTGGGCAACTCAGATTTTTTGGGCAGCAAGAGAAAATTTGGGCAAAGCTATTTTTTAAAGACGTTTCCGTGTTTTTTTATTAGTTTTAAGAGACAAATATTTTCGATTTTAATCTGAAAAATATCCTGAAGTCAGCGTAATATTCCAGTTACATTCTCTCTAGACACTCACAGTGGTTGCTTAGCACGTGATGAGTTTCTGGTTATAGGGAAGGGTATCATTTGTTGATTTACATATTTATAGTTTTTTTTATTGTTGAGCACTGTACTGCACTGCACTGACTGGAATGGGCTCTTAGCAGTCGTGAATTGATTAGAATAAGCTTCCGCATATCTTTCTAGAATCAACTCCGCCCGTAGAACAGTGTATGGCAGAGAGCATCAGCAACAGTGGGTGTGAAAATGAAGAAGTGGCTGACTAGTTTTCAGCTCGAATTACGAGAAGAATATTAATTTTTTTTTTAAATAATCTATCAAGCAATAATTTATTAAAGTTGACCGAAATGTTTACAAAACCGCTAACAAGAGCGCCTCGATACATACTGATGAAATGGAATCCTTCTCTCTAGCGATCGGCCGGAGCTATCTCCATGATATTTTACACACGTTTTTAAAAAGATTGAAGCTACTATGAGGTGAAATTACATGTCAAAAGAGATTCGTTTTCTACAGATAACGGCCAAACATCAAGATTTTTTTTAGGATATTTCTAAAACTTCATCCCAAAATATCCCGATAACTTTTTATAGATTCCGTTTTAACTTCACGAACATCGACGCGACTATTGGAGAAAAAAGTTGCCGTGAAGATTTTGTAGGAACAGTTCCCAGTGTCAAGAAATTTTGCTGCAAGTAAAATAGACAATGGCATCATTTTGTCGCTATGACAACTCCGATGTCATTAAAACCCTATGTAAATTTTCATCTATATCTAATAAAACTATGGTAGCAATTTTTCCAAATGTTTGTCTACGGCGACGTAGTTATGCTCAAAATTGGGAGGTATTGACCCTGAAAAACTGCCACCTTCATATGCCAGCACGGCCTACGTTGTTGCATCATATGCATCATATAAAAATTTGGGTAACTTGCGAGAATTGTTTGGGCAAATAGTTTACCGCCCCCCCTGGCAAAAAATTGCCCGTACGCCTATGAACACTTCACCCAATCTCAATCATCTTGCCTTTATTCGAAAATTATAAGAAAAAAAGTACTTGGTACGACTCAGTAATACATAAAAAGCAAAAAAAGTATTGTATCTTTAAAATTGTTGTTTTACATAATATTTCCACGTGATCATTGAAGATTTACCTTAATTTTGTTGTCAGTGATTTAAGATATGTGATTTTAAATCAAAAGCGCTAAAAATTTTATAAACGCCACCGACTTTAATCAGCTACGATATACAAGACGTCTTCTTAACTCGTTGTCTTAACTTTTCCTCTCCATAACAACAATTAAGAACACCGGTAGAAAGACGAAGCAAAACAAAGAAAATTCAAGTACGAGGGATTTTCCTGGGCACCAAAGTCACAAGAGGACCTGATTGGCAATATGGTGATGAAGATGGTGGACCTGGGAAGTTTGGAACGGTGACAGAGATAACAAGATGGGAGGAAAACCCAACAGGTGCAGTTAGGGTCGCATGGCATTCTGGTTCAAAAGGTACTTACAGGCTTGGCTACAAAGGCAAGGTAAATTTAGATGATTATCAAAACTACTTTGCTGTTAACTTTGTTTCGAGGTAAATACAAATTTGCTTTTAAGCAGGACACATGACGTCGTGATTGTCTTATGAACCTTAACGTTCTCTGTTAATTTTTGTTTACAAACGCAATTTTTTATGTAGAAGAGACTCTATTGAAATTATCCCTATTTAAATACAAGTTTTTTTTAAAAAAAGCGCGGTTAATCAAAATATGAATAGAATAGCTTGTCTATAGGACCAATCTTTGTCCAGTGAGTATACTGTATTGATCTCGTGTAAGTAGTACAGTGGGGACCGAATTGACCCCTTTTTGCGCAGGAATACAGTGACGCCGATAACGTCATAACCTTTGTCTCTATCTCGCAGGTGAAGTGTAAGGAATTCGCATTAAGATAACATCGCGTGTTGATTTTAGGTTATTTAACCGGTTTGACAGGTTGTTCAATTATTCTTATGCCGATGATTTTCTTGGTTTTTTGATCGGGTGACCAATAACTAAGAAACGTTTTTATTGGCTGATTCATGTTGTCCAAGGAGTATTAAAAACGCTAACTCGCGATCGCCTGTGAATCAAAGTCATTGCGCCGTAACATAACTATAGCGGACAACAAATTGTTCCAGCTCTGGATCACTGTTTGTTCGCGCAGAAATTGTGCATATTAAGGCTATTGGCGTTAATGTATACCTGATCAATTTATGGAGATTCCTGCACATAATAGGGTTAATTCGGTTCCTATTAGACTACTTATGTATACACATATGATGTTTGGTTGTCGAGTTCTGTATTTATCTTCATGATGTAACTGACCTTCTGTAAACTCCCCAGATGAGGTTTGATCATAGTTAGTAGAGACTGGTTATGAAAGCCGGCAAACGTTAAAACCAACGGTGCTGTAGTTTATGTTGGAAGCTTCCTGAACGAGCACAATCCCTTGTCTTTTATTCACAAATTGACTGGATAAATTGATCCGATGTTTCTCTTAGTCAGTAAGTTCAGATCCAAACAAGCTAACAAAAACATATAACAAAAACATATGAAGAAGGATTCTAACGGGTTTCATAACCATTCCTCTTTATTAACTATGGATTGATTAATCACTTCTCCATAGGTGGACTTACAGTGCACGAATGAAGCCTCAGGAGGGTTCTACTACATATCGCATTTACCAAGACTGCAACCGTGTCAGCCAACTACACCGGAAGCGGAAGGAAATTTAACAGATATATCAGGCGCATTACGTGAAGGACATGCTCTGACAAACCACTGCGACATTCCTGTGTCCGGTACAACACATGATGTAGTCACGCAAACGTCTCAGGGGCCGGCTGCTGATTTTCAAAAGGTAAAGACTATTTATTTCACTTATTCCGTTGTCTTACAGGGGCAGAAAGTATTGCCACCGTAATGATCTATAAGATTGTTTAATTTTACGTAATTTCAAAAAGAAAAGTACAGGGGAGAATAACTACTCCTTTGTGGGATCATATGACTCTTTTCGTACAATTCTTACTACCGTGACATTTACCCTCCTCCCCTTGTCTGAATAACGTGATTCTCAACGGCTTGCTACAAGAACTTACCCAACAAGCAAGCTCTCTACGTGGGGGATATCGTGAGTCAAACGCGAGCAAACCAGCAAAGGACACTCCACTTGCGGCTTCGCAGCTCGCTCGCGCGTTCTCGCTCGTCACTCGAGGTAGACAGCTTGCTCGCAGGCTAGGAAGAACAGAGAGCAGGCCCCAGTTGTTTAAACGTTGGATAGCGTTATCCACCGGATAAATCGCCATCCGGAGGAGAAGTAGTACGAAAACCAATTGCGTTATCCACAGGATAGTAATTTATTTAGCGGATAGCGCTATTCACCTTTTGAAAAGCTGGGGCCTGATGTATTGGTGAGGGGTAGAGAGGGGTAGAGAGAGAGAGAAGAGGAACAGGCGTCATGTTGTTAGTTTTGAAAATGCTAAAATTCTTTTTACTGCGCTATTTCTCTTGTGCATAGCCCACAGTTACAGACTGGGAAAAGAGAGGGCAAGAGGCAAAGGTAGGTTTGTGCTTTTTTCCTAATGCGCTATGAGTCCCTTTAGTAGTTTATTTAACGCTGCAACATTGTTGTCTAATTTGTCTCTACTGAGATTGATTGATTCCCAGGAAGTACTGCTTCAGGTTGCTTCTGGTCATTAACTAGTAATCAGTAATAAACAAGGCCGTTATATACATCGAAACCGGTGATAAATTTGTATGCTATTTTCACTGGCATTTTAGTTTTTTGGCGCCCATTTTTTTGTTAATCAGAACTGAAAGTTTTGCACTGGTTACATTCCATCCTAATTTCTAAAAGAGTACCTTTGTTTTAGGCATCCAGAAGTAAGCTACACAAGACATCTATTAATGGGAATTCAAAGGCTGTAGAGATGCTTCTTAATTCTGGTGAAGATGTAAACCAAGGCGATAAGGTGTGATCTAAAACTACAAAAATCATTATTTTTAAATTTGTTGATAGATTAAATAAACTTATATATATTGCCCTCTTCACGTTTTTAGTTTTTGTTGACGCCTCTTCATCTAGCTGCTTGGTATGGACAAGAAAGTGTTGTCAAACTGTTATTACAAGGCGGTGCAAATGTCAACGCGACAGATATTGTAAGTTGGTGATTTTGTATTCAGATACATGGATTGATAATGCAATAGGTATTCTATTGGCATGTTGATACATTTCTTAGGTTGAATAAAACGATAATGCATGCCGTTAAAATTAGGTAAGATGTTAGCAGTTGTCACATTTTTGGATTCTGTTTTAGCTTCAATATATCAAAAGGCCACGGCAAAATGATGCGAAAGTTGGGGCTTAGTCATTCATGACATGAAGCCAACCTCCAAAACTATTAAACCTCAGTCTCCTCTTACACATATTTCATTTTTGTCAAATTATCGTTTAGTTTCAGAAAACCCCTTTGCAGAAAGCTGAACGTCACAACCATCAATCAATAATTAAGATTCTCCAGAAATATGGTGCTACTCCAAGTTATCATCAGCCGGTAAGGAGGCTAGGTTTACTTACCTATTCAAAACAGAGAAATCTTGCCCAAGATACTCCAGTGCTTCCCAATAGCAAGGCACTATTACCAAGATGTAGGCATTGAAATAAAACTACTTATAATGGGCTTTCCTTGCAAACAGGTTCTACGAATAAGTCTTTGACTGTGAACCGGTATGAAAGAGGGGGAATAAACGTTGGCCGATGCTATTCAGTTTGCTTACACCATGGAGTATGAATTAATCCGGGGGGGGGGTACTCGATATATCCTTGGGTGGGGAGGTGCGGCCCGGCCCCTCATACTTAACCTGTTTTAGACAAAGATCGCTGATTTTCGTACCCTGTTTAAGACATTTAACCCGAAACCATACCCTGTGTAAGACAATAATAAATATGGAAACTCTTTCTTATCTAATCCATTGGCAGTCACAAAACTATTTACAGCTTGATCAACAGAGTCACGCAGGCTGTTTATCGTCCAAGAAAAGATACCCTGTTTAAAAAAAGAAAAAAGTGATAAAATCGATACCCTGTTTAAGACAAAAATCCCGAAAAACATACCCTGGTTGGCCGCACGTCCCCATTAAGCCCTTATAAGGGAGTACCCCCCCGGGGGGAATTAATGTCTTTCTTTTGTGGTCTGAAGGTCCTCTTGAACATCAGTGATTGTACCTTTAATTCATAACCCTAGCGCAGTTTGCTCCAGAACTGCCTCTTAAGGTGTTGTTCATTACAATTCCAAGCGCGTATATTTTAGTACAAGGGAATCGTGGTAATTTGTCTGTTAGTTTTCTTATCTTGATTAATCACAGAAAGTAAAATAAATGAGTGAGTAACAATACGGCCGTTGAAATGAGAGAAAACAACTCGCGGTTTGCTCTGGCCGCGGTTTACATAAGACGGAAACACGCAGTATTAATGGTACAAAATCTAAGGTCATGGCTTATTCAAGCCGCGGCTTATCCTGCTGAGGAGTTTTGGGCTGTGATTATCCAAGCTGCGGATTATCTTGGACGTGAAGTGTTCGCACAAATCGACTAAAACGCTGTCCACGGCTTGCTGAAGAGGTGAACGACTGATGAGCATGCGCTGTTTCGTCATTGTGGCCTAGACTTCCTTTTTTCATTTGCTCCCGTCCATTCGCTAGAAGTGAAAAATGTCAAGCACGTGTGACTTCAGACAGCAGTTTATTTCCCAAAAAATCACTTTAAAAGCATTCGGTTTATCGCTTGCCATCTTTTTGTGGAGATTCGCGACTTTCTTAAATAGATTGATTGTTTTGGAGTGTAATACCAATCTTGACTGGAATTATAATTTGAAACGAAACAGACAAAGAAAATATGACGCAGTTTCTTTGACAAACTGAGTCGTTTCGCTTTTTTGCTCACTCAAAATGCACATCAAAACGAAGAACCCCAAAAAACTTATTATGTTATCACTGGACTAGTTAGCCTAAAACTGAGCCGTGAACCGTTTATACGAGCAGTTCTCGTTTTATGTAAGCCCTGCTCGTATAAATAGTTCTTTTCGCGTCTTATGTTAGTCGAGGCCAGATTAAACTGCGGCTTATTTTCTCTCGTTCAAACGGCCCTATTATTGTCTCTTATTCAATCGCAGAGTACGTTGAAGTCCCTCTCGAAAATGGCCGTCGTAACAGTCGATCGACGCTCAGGGTTCAATCTCTTCCAAGCCATGGTCTATGAGGGAAATTTTCAAGGCGTATTTACTGCCAGTGTCTTCCTTGATGACTTTGTGAGAGAGTTGAATTTCGAGTCGACAGCAAATAACGCAAAGATTTTTCCATCAAAGACTTCACATGATATGCTCTCAACACTTGAAAATCACGACCATGGGAAGATAAAGCGAATCTGTGAAGAAACGCTAGAAAAGATCAGAACTTTGACTGAGTTACACGAATGTGTTGACAACAATGACACGGAAAAGGCTGTGGAACTTGTTTTGCATCATGGTTTGGACGTCAATTCCCCAGCCAAGGGTAATCGAACCCCTTTATTGTGGGCTAGTCTGCGATGTTCCAGTGAGTTTGTTAAGACCCTTACTGATCTTGGAGCTGAAACGAATGCTCGAACAGAAGAGAAATGTACGCCTTTAATATTGGCAACATACTGGAACAATTACATGGCTGCCCACCTTCTAACTAAGATTGGGGCTGATACCGATGCACAGGAGGAGGAGGGAATGGCAGCACTGCACGTTGCAAGCTGTAGGTCTGCTAGTATAACACAGTGTTTAATAGAATCAGGGTGCAATGTCAATTTGCCATCAACCACTGGCAGGACTCCACTTCATCTAGCAGTTCAAAACAAACAAAAACACGTCGTCAAAATGTTGCTAGAAAACGATGCTGATGTGGGGAAACGGGACAAACAGGATCCAAATGACAGGGTGATACTGGTGAGCGGCAAGGACAAAGGAAAACCAGCTTGGCACTTTGTTGATGTGAAGAAGACTTTGACTGGTTTGTTCTACAAACGGGTTAAAAGCGGCAGTCTGGACGTGGCCCATTTTGGTACTGTCCTAGCATCAGGATGGGGGACAGACCCACCAGATAGTAAGAGAGAAGAGATTTTTAAAGCTGATTCTGTAAATACAGTGGAAATAAAAGACAAGACAGCTCTTCACATTGCTTGTGAAATCGGTGACGTAGCAATTATGGACCTTCTAGTAGAGCATGGTGCAGATATTAATGCCCTAGACGCAGACGGGTTTACTCCTCTGCAGTTGGCAGCCATTCGTGGAAACATGAAAGTTGTTAAAAGGCTTGATGAACTTAAGGCTGATGTAAACCTGACCACAGCAGATGGTAAAGATGCGGTTGATTATACAAAAATGAATGAAGAAGTGCAAATTGAAGAGTTTCTAAAGTCAAAGAAAAGTCTGCTTAAAAAATTTTGGAACAGGTTGTCAAAAAAGTGATATGCATTTCAATCTCATGATCTTACTGCCGTCGCTAATCTACAAATTATTGACAAGTTTTGTCATGTTTTCTTTAAACGTTTAAGAATTTTCGTGGGTTCCATATACTATCAGCTGGCCTGTTGGCCTTGCGGAGACCTCGCTATTACGTACAGACAACCCAGTAATGCGGAAAACAACTAAAGTACGCAGAAAGAAATTGCAGACGTTTGACTGAAATATACTCCAGTTTATTCGGACCTTCGCTGTTACGGACACTAACTCGAGGTTCCTGGGGTGTCCGCAATAACGAGATTTGGCTGTAATGCAGTAATAATCAAAATGCAACGAGGCGAAGAAGGAGTTTCAAATAAGTAACTAAAGCCTTCCAAATTGCACGATTCCGTCTCCACAACCCCTTGGATTTTGATTTGTTCAACGTTATATCGAACCCACCAGGGTTTTCAAAGATTTGTGAGAGGCGTGTCAAAAAACCTTTAAGCACGATAAAGCCTGTGACTTAAGACCATTTCATAAAGTTCAACTTACAAACTCTCGTAAATGAAGTATTCACAGTTTCAACAATGATCAGTACAAAAATGGGCTAAAGTAGTTATTCAGTTATATGGAATCTTGAGGACACGGAAATAATAAAGTTTTCATTATGGGAAAATTTACACAACCGCTTAACTTAAACTTTTAAACAACAAGCATTGTCTTTAAGTTGCTTTTAGTATGATCGATTTTTCACTTCCAGAATCAAAATAAAATTGCTGTAAAATTATAAGATACACACACAGTCCATTGGACCCATCGAACTCTAGTAGTTTAGTAGGGATGAAATTAAGCTTTTTTGAAGTGGATTCTCATTAGTTTCTTATACCCTTTTGTCCTAATCTCATGAATAAAATGCGGTGAATTTCATTAAAATAAGCTATTCTTAAGTTCTTTGACCGGTTTGACAGGTTTTAGATCAGTGACGTCATAGTTTTTCTGAAACTGAGTACTTCATGTTCTTATCTGGACATGGTGTCACCTGTGAATTAAATTCACTAAATCGTAACGTAATTATGCAAGTGTTGTTCCCTGCCGCTTTCATTGCAGACGACAATTTTTCCAGTTCCAGTAAACTGATTCATGAGGGCGAGGGCAAACTAGCTCATTCTACCACTAAACATAATTTGTACTTACCACCATATTTCTATTACTTTTCTATAACCACCGCCACCGCCAGCACCAGCACCAGCACCACATCCACTATATTTATACCTGGACTTTTGAAAACCGGGTTAGCAAAAATATCAACTCATTCTACTACTTGGCAATTTAAAACAATAAAACTCGTGCAAAGGCCGATTAAAAGCCTTTATTTGACGCCGGGCAGTAAGTTAATGGTCCCTAGAAGCATTCCAACGAGTCCAAATTTAAAATGACGCAAATTTTGGAACATTTATTCAGTAATCTGACTTCGCGAAGTTTCAAACCAGTGTCATTTCAGTCTAGAAATTTTTAAGTTGAGTGAACGGCAGCGAAAGAGTGCCTGGTTAAGGCTAACATAACAACTTAAATAGTTAGCAAAACACTACTTTTTTCGCGGTCCGATAAACAACAGGATTTCGCATGAAATACACATCAAACTGAATGAAACACTGTGCACAAATTATCACCTTCTTATCTGCAGAAACCGGCCTATGGTTCAATGCCATTAGAGCCCGCTGAAACTAGACTTAGATCCAGTTTTCCTGAGTCGAGAGTTGCTTTTCCAAGGTACAAT